TTTGTATTTATTAAAAACAGAAACTTAATTAAAAATAAATGTATATAATTACTCAAACATGTGGTGCTATATTGAAAATGAGTATGTTAATCATATTTTGTATGAGTAAGCAAGCTAAGTTTGAAAAGTTTTGCAACTTTGAGCACGTAGTATAAGATTAAAATGTACAGGTTTCGATTAATATCGACTATCTATAGTTTCCCCAATGATGCCTTATGGATAAAAGTTAAGAGAAATTATGAAAATGTGAAAATGCTATGATTACCATTATAAAATTGCAATATTATGAGACTCTATTTATAAAGTAGATGAAGTTAAATAATGTTTTATTTTTATAATCATTAATGTATTTATCATATATCATATAGTTTTATTATTTACATTCAATTGCTGAATAAAAATTTCGTCCAATAACTTTTTCATAAACATAATATTTACAGATTATTTTTATATTAATATAAATTTAACCTATTTAAAAAACATTAAAATAAAACTACAGTTTTATTACACACAATTTTTTACTGTATATTATGCCCCATGAATTATTATGCCCTTGTAAGTGTTTTGGTGTTTAAGTAAATTATTTTAAATATTGATATTATAGATTTTAATTAATTCTTGCGTTTAGTATAATAAAATATTTTCTAATGAATATCAAATTAATTAAACATTAAATAATATTTTGAAAATTTATATTTTATTACGTTATCAATTTTAATCAAATATTCTACATTCATTTATATTTTTAGCACTAAGTTTAAGATGAAATTAAAAATTATTTTTTCAATATATCATTTATTTAACACGTTTCCAAATACGGCTGGCTTTCTTGTATACCACCATTGTATGCGTTACTAGTATCAAATATTCATATAGAACACATTATTAAATCTATTTCACCAATGACAATTGATCAACTCTTATTATGGTAATGTACCACAATAGTAGATAGTTATTACATCTCTGATAATATCTAATACTATAATATATCCAATTAGTATTCATTTCTATATCTATAAATCGACAATTTGTATTCTACATAAAACATTACTACCGGTATAGAGATTTTATCAAGTTCAGATAAAATGTTCCCACCTCATTTTTATAACAATTCTATAACTTATTTATAACTTTTGCTATAACTTTTAAAATCCTTAAAAAATAACTTATGATATCTGACACAATTACTGTACAGTATGCTGGATTTTGGTGTCAAATATTATACGGTATATGAATTCTTAAAGAGCACAACAAAACTCATCGGGTTTTTAATTTAATTTTATTAAATGAATAAATTATAAAATTATCAAAAATTCAACACAATTTAACATTCAATCAAAACTATAATAAACCATCTGATGCTTAAGTCTTTGAGCTATGTTTGACCGAATGGAAGAACCAGTCGAGTTTAGTAGACCAGGCGCCTCCATGTGCCTCATCCAACTGTGTCTCGAAATACTTGAGCGCCTCATCGCTGGTCTTCTCGACCTGCAAAGTCTGTCGCAAATAACTGATGTCTTCCATAGACTGTAACTCTG